GGGGGGGGGGGGGGGGGGTGCCTACGCCCAGAGGAAGGCTGCGGCTGCGGTGGCCATGCTCTGGGCAGCCTTGCTTAGTAACCCCAGCCCGTCACTCGGAAGCTCGCTGCTGCCCCTTGCCCCTTGTGGCTGCGGCCCCTGGGGCCTCTTGTCCCGCCCTACTCCAGGCAACCGCCGCGCGCCCTCGCCCCCCTCACCCCTGGTCTATGCATGGCCCCCCCTTTACCACCTCAACGGCACGTTAAGATATCCGCCTACCTCACCCACTTCACCTTCCACCACCCAATCACCCCTTCTGATACCAGCCCCCGCTGCTGCACGATTGCCCACGACCAACCACCCGTTCAAGCGACCAATCAAAACCCCAAATCTCGTAACCCCCCAAAACGCTACCATCCCAGATCATCCGAATCACTCTGGCCTTTGCATTTCTGATGGGCGTGATGTGGCTCTGCAACATGATGCCCAGCCAGCAGGCCGACCTCTCGCCCGAGGTGCAGGCGCGCCTCGCTGCCCTGAGGGCGCAGGCGCTGGAGCGGCGCCGGCAGCAGCTGGAGGAGGCCGCCGCGGACGGCGGCGGCAGGGTTGGCGGCGCCGGCGGCGGCGCGGCCGCGGTGGCAGGGCACGGGGAGTTGTGAGCGCGGGAGGGGGGAACGAGCGGGGGGCCATCGCCGTCCGCTGCGGCGTGCTCCGGCGGTTCCAGCGCACGTCAGCAGGGGTTGAGAACGCAGGCAAGGTGATCTGGGCTGACCTTGCTGCACGAACTGCAGGTGATGAGCGTTGCTCCTCAGTATTGCCTGGCCAACAGCGGCGCCCTAAGACGCTGACGCTGTCGCTGCTTTGCGCCCCACAAATCGTCTGCCCCTCAGCTCTGTCGCCGCACGTGCTGGGCGGCCGGCTAAGCTCTTTCTGTAAAAGTCGGTTACACCACAAAGCCCCCGCCGCAGTGATGGGTGCGCAGGAAAAGGGTTGCACCAGCCTGCTGGGGCTGCTTGCGGCAGCATTCTCTTGTGTCATGTGTGCAAACAATCCAAAGCGCAGGAAGGGTATGACTGTTGAGGACAAAGCAAGGGGAAACGATCGGATTGCTGCACCCCGCATATCACGTGGTGCAGTGGCAACCTGCATGCAGCCATAAGATTGGGTTGAAGACGCCCTCCCCTGTCCCACACGGACGTGAAAGGGAAGTGCAAGGGTCGGATGTGTGTCCGCTTCGTGCAGCGCAGTTGTTTCGGCCTAGTCCACACGCATGCATGGAGCGGCTCAAGGCAAAAGTAATGCAGGTGCATGTCAGCAGGCCCGCACCAATACAGGCAACCAGTCAAGGACAAAGAGATGGCAGTGTGTGATGTTAGCGCTGGGTTGGGGCCCCGTTTGTTGGGGCAAAACGCACAGCGTTTGGGGCCTGCACACGCTTGGTGTGCAAGAAAGGGATAAGGATAGCGCACAACCCCAAGATACTCAGGCCTTGGGGTCAAAGACTTTGATGACTTCACAGGAAAACACCTTCCGCCGGCACTTACGCAGTAGAAGCCGGCATGTGCCAAGACAGTCCCGGCAGCTCGACCCGCGCAGAGCCGCCCCTTGCAACGGGGATGGTAGCGCTGCTGCCCCCCGCGATCAGCGGCGCCAAGCACTGCGTGCTGTTGACCGCTGCCGCGCCGCTCTTGACCATGACGGCCGTGACGGCGCCGCCGGCCCCGACCTCTATCGCGTACGACAGGGCGCACTCGTCGCGCGCCTGCCTCGCCAGGAACGCGGCCCTCAGGTCGTCGAGCTTGAGGGAGGTGAGGGGCCACGACGCGTACTTGCCAAACTCAGCCACGACGGCCTCCACCCAGTGCATCGCCAGGCTCTTGCCGGAGCCATCCAGCAACGCTAGGTTGGCTTGGTGCTGCAAGGGCATAGCGGTCGATGGTGGCAAAGTGAGGCTCTAATCGCTGGCTGCATGTTCGGGACCCAGATGAATAGGTGCGCACACCAGCGATACGATATTGGGCGGCAGGATGCAGGAATTACTCAGTTGCGTGTTCTTCTACTCTCACGTCATTCAAGCCCTGTTTCCATGCCCGCGCCAGCCGCTCACCATCATGTAGGGGTCGTGGCGCAGCGACAGCAGGCCGTCCCTCACGACCCTGACTGCCTCTCGCTGCATCAGCTCGTCGATGGTCGAGTCTCTGCCGTAGAATGAACGGTACAGAGAGTTGTACAGCGCCAAATTCTGGCTCGCGGTCGAGCAGTTGTAATAGATCTCGGTCGCAAAGCGCGGCAGGATCTCGAAACCGTTGTAGCCATGCTCCTTTTTGGTCGTGTAAAGCATGTGGTGGGGGTTGTCAGGGTTTATGAGGAAGCTCCAGGTGTTATCGCCGACAGCGCAGCCCACGCCTTGGCGCGCGAGGGCGGCGAGCGCGTCGCCGTTGTGGAGGCCGCTGATCTGCAAAGCGGGGCAGCATCAGAGGAGGAAACAGACGGGGGAAGGAGTATAAATTAAACAAATTAGTCTAAGAAGTGTGATTTTTGGAACTCCCTTGAGGGCCCCAATATAAAATGCATCCTGGCCTTTCGGGCAGCAAGTTGAGGTGGACACTTCAGAATGTCTTAGCAGGCAAGCCAGCTGTGCGGGATTCCTTCTGCATTCAAGCGCACCAGCATCAGTGTGCTCAGCTGCCTGCCGCAACGACATTATCACCAGCCTTTCCGTGCACACACCTGGGGCGTGACCATGCAGCCACTGCTGAAGCCGGAGCGGTTTGACAGGCCGAGGAAGGCCTGCGATAGATGGCGGAAGCGAGGGAGGGTATCACTGCAATGGAGACGAACACGCACGTTGGTGGTAAGTCGCGACGCCGACGCCACGCATCAAGTGCGTTCCCCATCTTGCTGATGTCATCTCCTGCATGCCTGCTGTGTGTGCGTGGTGCGTGGGTACCCTAGCCGCTCAACGCACCGCCGCATCAGCGTTCAGGGACAGCTGCTCCGCGGCGTCAAAGGCCGTCGCGTTGTCCAGGTTCTGGGGCGTGAAGGGGTCGTTCGGTCCCGCGATATTTTGATTTCACCATCAACGTTTGTCTGGGGGTGGGGGCTGCTCGTGCGCGCGTCTTGTTACAGGCAGCGCGCTTGCAGGAAGAGACCACCCGCGACTGTGCCCACCCCTCTCCTCGCCAGCTGGTCCTTGCTCGTCCCCATCCCGCCGCCTGACGCCAATCGTCTCCGTCCCCGCCTCCGCCCCCGCCCACAGCCTGAGCCCGGCGCCGACCTCGTGCGTGAACGTGTGGTGCGAGAAGAAGAATGCGTCCGCGATGCCCCCCTCGTTGTTCTTGAGGGCGGTGGCGATGGGATCCTCCAAGCGAAACTGCGGGTCGTGCCACAGGGAGCTGAAGTTCACGGCGGCCTGCAGGGGCGTGAAATTCACAGGGTTGATGGCGGTGGGAGGTTTGATAAGTACATGGCAGCAACGATATCTGCACGTGGCGTTGCTGCGTGTCACAACTGGCAAACATTGGGATTCGGACCCTGGTGAATGCCAAGGTATGTAGCTCGCAGCCAGCAAGAGATATCAGCAGCAAATTGCAATTGAAGAGAGACGAACGTGCCCACACACCCCAGCAAGGCAATGGTGTGCGCCTGTCGCACCTGTGGGACACGGTTTTTGCCGAATCCCAGGGGCTTGGGCCAGTCCTAAGGGGGGAGCAGGGTGCAAGGGAAGAGAGTGTGGGCAAGAAGAGCCAGGCCGGCTGCGCATGGCCATGGATGCGCATCCCCGGCTGCGATCATCAGCCGCCAGAAACCGCCAGCGTGGTCGGGTCGCAGCTGCAAATGCCTGCTACGTCCCCAGGGGGATCCGTGTGCACTGCATTGACTGCCAACGTCAGGTCAACGCTGCTCATGCTGCTGCCTTCGTAGGCACGTGTCGTGTCACAAGTGCTGGCTCACCTTGGTGCAGTTGCGGCAGAATTCGGGGGCGTCGGCCGGGCAGGCATGTGTCCCCACGTTCCAGCAGCTGCAATTGAGGTCCTTGTAGGCCGGCATGTCGATGCAGCTGCGGTCGTCCACAGCCAGGGAGTTCCCCACAGGCTGCGCGGCCGCCCCCGCCTTGGCGCCGATGACGCCGCCGCCGTTGAACGGAAGGTCGAGCCTGCATGTGTGGGCGAAAAGGCCGTCACGCATTTAGAAAGGAAGTAGGCCCCGCTACCGGCGCTCGACTCCCTTCTAGCTCCACTGCTGTGGCTGCACAGCGGCCACTGCCGCCGCTATTACACAACCACTGGTGGCGGCAGGTGACCCAGCAGCTAGTCATGCTGGCACAGCGTGATGCCAATGGCCTGTCATGTCGTATCCGCGCAGGGCATCAGCTGAGCTCCATTCTTTCACACTCCTGAGAGCGTTCAACCCTCTTACTCATCGACCCAGCCACGCCCACCTCCACACCCATGCACCTGCCCACACCTACCCCCTTCCAAACGAGTGCGCATGCGTGGGCATACACAGACCTGATATCGCTGCCAGAAGGGAGTCGCAGCTTCAGGTGCTGCTGCCACGTCACGTGAGAAAGCACGTCCTGCAGCGATGAGCGATATGAAGTGACGTTCTGCGAGAGGCCGGCCGGCGCTGAGCTGTCAAAATAGGTGGTCAGCAGGAAGTCGTCTGGGATGGGGAGGAAGGCGGTTCACAATGGGGGGTGGATGCAGGGGGAACAAGTGTGCAGGCGTGACCGACTTTGTGGACCGACTGCCGCGCCCGTAGGGAGTGTGGCTGGGCGTGCTCTGAGGCACAGAGCCCGCCCTGTCACCGCTCCTGCAAAACACGCTTCTGGCTGAACCGCGCCCACAGTCGGCGTCTGAGGTCGGCGCGCAAGCGCTGACAAGTTTGCCATCGAGCCCTGCCGGGGCGCGGGCGGGCACGCAGACCACCCGATGACCCACCCACCCATGCGTGCGGCACTCACCGAGCTGCACCGTCAGCAGCGCGCGCCGCTCCCCGGGTACGAGCCCTTGAAGCATCCAGCCCAGGGACAGGTGTCCCAGCAGCATGCAGGTGGTGCTGTGGTCGGAGCAGTCAAACACAAACGCCAGCGACTCGCGGCCGTCTTGGTACTTGACTAGCACGCCCGCCACTTGGGGCGCGGCGTCGGGCTGCTGTGGCGCAAACTGCAGGATCGGCTTCGGCGTGCAGGGTGTGTGCAGGCCGGCGTCGGCAAAGTCGCTGGCCCACATTGCGCAGGTGGTCAGCAGCGGCGCCGCCTTGCCGGGGCACCTGCGGTGTGGGACAAAGCGCCCGTTGGCAGCGAGGTGAGGGGGCAGCGGCGGAAGGGCGCCAAGCCCGATAATTGGGTGGGGCGCAGCGGTGATCTGGGTTGACTCTTCAGCTCACGCATGGTAGATCTGGGCCTGCTGCTGGACGGAGCGACAGCAGCATACCGCGGCAGCAGCAGTCTGCAACATACAAGCAGGTTTCAGCGGGGGCCGTAGCAGCCAAAGCTCACCTCCAGAGGCCGCCGCTGGCCAGGTGCGCGGCGGGGTTGACGCCCGACGCGCCGATTGGGGTGCTGTCGGTGAACGTCATGATGACATCACTTGTCCCGCAGTTGGAGTTGTCGGGCTCAAGACCGACGCTCTGCGGTGTGAGCGGGGGCGGCAGCAGCGTTTGGGGCGGAGTACTGCGGGGTGCACCAGGCGTGCGCGGCGGCTCGGGCGATTGACGGCGCAGCACCAAGAATTGAGGGCGGATGTGGCCCGGCGTGCGTGGTATTGCAGCGCAAATAATTTAGAAGCACTTCCCCGTGTATCGTGGAAATGGAACCCAGTCTGACCGATGAGGGGTGAAGGGCAGTCGGTGGGCGGGTGGGCAGCGGGCAGCACGCGCGCCACAGCTGGGGGCATGCGCGGTCAAAGCTGCGAATCGAAGCCCCTCGAAGCCAACAGAGCTGCACCCGTCTCACCCTTGGCCAGGCGCCAAACTTGACGCTGCGGGCGCCCGTCTTGCGCTGGAAGTCCCACAGCTCCTCGACCTGTGCATGGGTCAGGTAGCCAGTGGCCTCGAGGTTGGGGTACCTGGGGCCCGAGGGGGGAGGGCGAATAATTCGCAGGGCCAGCTTTGAGATGCCGAAGTGAATGGTGTGTACAGTGTCTTTGAAGCAGATCTGCTGCGCTTGCGGCCCGTGGCTGGGAGGCGCGCCCAGCAATGTTGACCAGCCTTGGGGCCGACGCTCACATGACGTAGCCGGCAAAGCGGGCGGAGCTGTCTGAGGTCCACAGGAGCTCTGTGAGGTTGAGGGAGGAGCCGGGGCTGACTGGCACCACCGTGAAGGGGACGCCGTAGCCGCGCATCACTTGGGTCATGAAGCCAATGCCAGAGAAGCCTGGGGGTAGGGGATAGGCCGGAGGGAGGGTGGGGGCGGGGCTTTCCATAATCGCCGGCTCGTTTCATCATCATCACCACCAAGCGAGGGAGCCCAATGCATTGATCGCGTGGGGAGAGCAGAGGAGGCCGCACAGACGGCTTGAACACTAGCATGGAGTTTCATGGGGGGCAGGGCGCTGGGCCCCGTAAGGGACGGCCGAAAGGCCGCAATACACTTGGCAGCTGCAGCTCCCCTAAAAAGCGCAGGTGCCAGGGTTGCACCCTGCCTTGCTTCCGCCCAACCCTAGCCTGCCCGTGGCGACGCACACGCATGTCCTCACGCCGTGGCATCACATGCCTGCATGCAGGCACACGGCATTGATAGCCTGTGCACGGCCGATGGCCCTGCATATCCCCCATCCCCCACCTGGGGCCGTGAGGACCAGCACCTCCAGCTGCACCACCATGGCGCGTGCGCCGCAGACAGCCAGCAGCAGCGCAAGCAGCAGGCACATGATCTTTGTAGGCGTCATTTTTGATTCTGGAGTTGGAAGTGCCCTGTGCAAGCCGAGTTCTGCAAGGTTCAGCGAAAGGTGTTCGAGCTGCGTCGCAGGAAGCGTAGGGCTATGGAAAAGCGTAAGAAGGCAGATAAACAATACGTCTCATATAATCGTGTTGGTATCTATCCCTGGCTTCAAGGTCAACGAAAGGATTCACGTCTGGTCAGCTCCGTCTCAGCTGCCTTTGCACGGTTTCACGATGTGCCTAGAATGTCTGACAGCCCTTTGATGAGCGCTGTGTCCCAAGGGGAGCTGCCCGTCGGGCACAGCAGCCGCTGCCTCTGCTTCGCGTTGTGCGCAGCATGGTGACCAGGTCGTAAGGGACCTGAGGATGCAAACACTTGCATTCACCTACGCACAGCCAAGAATACGGCGCTTCCAAGCTAAACATTAGCTGCACACAACTACATACCGTACTGTTCTGAGAAGCCCCTTGGCATCGTGTTGCGCGTGCGTGTGCTTCCTTGTGGGTCCGAGATGGTGCCACTGCCCACGCAGCAAGAACCAACGACAGCCGACAGCAACTCGCACCCCAGCACTTTGGGCAGGGCGTAATCCATATTGTGCAGCACCGCCGACCTGCCCGCGGCTCGCGCGGCGCTGTCAGACGCGCGCCGGGTCCACTCCGTGGGCCCGCCGCGCGGCAGGAATCAAACTCACTGCTTGGTCTCATCGTTGAATGTGCTGGCGCGCCGCCGCGCGTGCCGAGCGTCCGCCGACCCCGACCGATGACAAGGCGGCACGCGCCCTGAACCCCTACATCAGTGTTACTCGCACAGGGCCGACAAAACGTGCGTGCCACCTTGAACGACGGACCGGTTGCGTGGGGCGGCGGGGAGAGCATACATTGGCAGCAGTGTTCACAGCCGTGCGACAGGATTGCCGATCAAGTTTTGGGCCTGTTCCCTGAATGGGGTACGGGTGCAAGTGCGGGGGGAACCTTCCGGCGTGGAAGAGTGATAACCGCCAACTTTCAATGATTTGAGCCCGCGCGTGCGGCACGCTTGGGGGGGTGGGGGAAGGGTGGGACGCAGGAAAGGCATTGGCGGGGCTGGGCGCGGGCCGCCGCGCCTGCGGCGCGCGCGCGTGCCGCGGCCGGCGGCGCTCTGGGCGGCGCCGCGGCGCGGAGAGCACGCGCGCGCGGCGCAGGCGCGGCGGCGCCAAGAAAGCAAGCGCGCAGTGCGCGCGCGCGGCGCGGGGCCGGCGGCGCGGGGCGCGGGGCGAAGGGGTGATGCCGGCCGTCAACGGCGCGGCGGGGGCGAGTATTGGTGGCTTCGTTGGCATAATCAACAGGCAAAAGGGTTCCGACAAAGACGAATCGGCCGTTCGACACAAGAGGTCGCCCTGCCCTCTGAAAACCGAAGGCAGCGTCACAGGTGGTGCCGTGGGTAGAAAAACTGGGCGGACGCCGCCGTGCGGCGGCGGCGGCGGCCCGACCGGGGCGGCTGCACAGGAAGTCGCGCTGCGCCGGCTCTCAGCCGGGCCCCCAGGGCGGGCGGCGGCTCGCGGGCTCGCTTTTGGTCCCTGCCGGCGGCAAACGCGAGAATGGTGACGGGCTCATGTAGGGGGCAACAGCAGTTTGCAGCGCGCGCCTGTGCGTGCGGCTTCCAAAGTTTCCTTCTCACTGGTCAAGCTTTGAAGAGGGTGGATGTGGGACAAGCCTGGGGTGGTGTGATGCGGTGCGGTTATGGGACATAACAAGGCAGCGGAAGGCGAACGGGCGGGGGCACTCGTCGAAAATGTGGGATGTAGGCCGTGGACGAGCAAATCGTAGGCGGAAGGTGGGGCAGCTGAGCAGTGCTGGGGCCGCGCGGGCAAATGCAGCAGCAAGCAGGGCGCCAAAGGCGCCGGGGAGGGGGCCAAGCGCGAGTAAGGGGGCCGCGCGGCGCGGCGAGGCGGTATGCTCAGGCGCCGCGGGGGGTTGGTGTGTGTGCGCGGGCCACACGGTGGTAGGGTCGGGCGGGGCGGCCGCGAGGAGGGGCGGCCGCGGGCGCCGCTGCTGCGGCGGCAGAAGCTCGTGCGCCGCCCCGCGCCCCCGGCCGGCGGCGGTCTCGTTGGACTCTAACCCCCAATTTAAGATGAGGTAAAGAACGAGGTAGCACAGCGGGGTGGGGGAGGCAAGTGCGCAGTGGGAAAAACCACCCAGATGCGGTTTCCAACGGAACGCGCGCCGCCGCCAGCCCCCGCAAAGCGGGGGCCAAGGGGCGCGTGGGGAGAGGCAGCTCATGCGGAATCGGCGGCTGAGCGGTTTCCAAAGGGCGACCAAGCACGCCGCATCCGGCCGTGGGCGGAGCCGCGCGCAAGCACACGCGCTTGGCCGGGCGGGACGCGTTGAGTGCATCGGGCTGCGGCGGCGGAGTCGCTGGCAATCTGGCTGTGGTTTGGCTGAAGGCGCTCATCGGCGGCTCGAGCAAAGCACGGCGCCGTGGCGTGATGCCTTGCGAGGTGTGGAGGGGGCCGCCGCCGCTGGCAACGGGGCGGCGGCC